TGTCTTCCTGGATATGTCTCTCATCCTAAATGTAACATGGCCGAAACTGAACTCCTTATCTTCCCTCTCAAAGCTTCCCCACTTCCTTGCTTTCTCTGACACCACCACCATACTTCTAGTCATTCAGGCTCATAATTTGGGTGACATCTTTGATTCTGTCCTTTCTCTTACCCTAAGCATCCAGTCTGCATCCAAATCTTGCCACTAATTCTTCCCCCAAACAGTTAAAATCTGACATTTCTGTCCAGGGAAAACTCTTGTTCAAGCGCACATCTCCCATCTTGATTACTGTAACTTCCTTCTCTATGGTCTCCCCAGCACCTCCAATCCATTCAAAAAGCAGCTTCTAAGTTCATCTTCCTTGTCCATAGCTCTGACCATATCACTCCCATCTTTGAATCCCCACTGGCTCCCAGGGCTGGCCTTACCATAAGGCGAACTGAGGTGGCTGCCTCAGGTGCCAGACTGTGGGGGGTGCCACTAGGACCCAGAGTTTCAAAGTTTTGACCCAAGCGAGGGGACGTGGGGGCGTTATTTGAGCTCCCCGCCTCAGGTACCAAAATGTTTTGGGCTGGCCCTGCCGGCTCCCTCTCTTTCACCCCCGCCCCCCGACCACTCTTTTCTCTTGCCAAGTTGCCTTCCCGCCTCTTCCACTAAGCCAATAATGGCTCTCTTGTCTGCCCACTTTTTAGCTTCTCACACAAATGTCTCAGTACCTCTATATGCAATCCTCCAGGTGCTCCTGACGCCACTCTCTTTTTCTTGAAAGTCCTGCTCAGTATCCACTTCTTCTGTGATGCCTGCAAGAAACTGGGTAACCAATGCTCACTAGGTTGTGCAGCAATCAGAGGTAGCTGAGGTAATGCAGGGCCCTTAAAAGCAGAGGGTTCTGAGAAGTCACCTGTATTACTTGTGCTTAGAGCTAGCCCTGCACATCTCCCAGGTCCAGCGGGCACTCCCCTTCACAGAATAACTCCAGCCCTTTCCTGGTTAGCAGTGCCACTTCTAAAACGTTTCCCATACTGCCTTTATTTTTCTTCTGGGCTTAGGGGTAGGCACTGCAGGACCAGGATGCTTCTAGGACTAGTTTGCATATAAGGGTCCCTAAGCAGACCTTTCACCTTAGAGCTACCTTTCCCACCAGACACATTGCTTCTGAAGTCTGCGAGCCTGACTTGGAGGTACTGCAGAGGGCCAGATTTTCAGAGAGTGACATCACAGAGTAGTGGCACTTAGACTCAGTCACTTCCCCACCTCTGCTATTGATTTGGTTTTACATAATCAGCGAGGATTTTTCTTTTTTGATAGGGGAATTCCAAGCATTACCTGCAGCTCTGTTGATTCTGTCACTGAAGAGGTGAGAGGAACGAGCTCCAGAAGCCTCACTCTTGCTGTTCTTCAAAAGCTGTTGGTGGGAAGGATGGTGGTACAGGGCTAGTATTCTCATGGCTGCTTCTTTAATTCAAATATTCACTCACAGGGGACAGTGTTTGAGCTGGATAAGAGTGGGTGGTGATGTTCCTGCTGTGGCAAATGGTTAATAACAAGAAAAACAAAAGGCTTGATCCATTAAATTACTCAAGAAGAAGGAGGAATGACAATCGGTCCCCATGGTGAAAGCAAGGGTTGTGCTCAATACAGCATTACAGGTAAGCAAATGTCCTTCCTCCTTGGGTGGAAAAAGTTATCACTTATGTAATGGATAAAAAAGCATTGAAATTGGATTCCCCACTGTCAGCAGGGCCAGTAGGTGGTACTCAACAGGGGTCAAGTGCTGACAGCACATTGCCATATGATGTGCTTCTTCTGATGTAATCACAAAGTTAGGATGAAAACCTGTTTTGCTTTACTCCCTTGAGTAGCCTGTTTGAAGTCAATGGGATTATTTATGTGACTAAAGTGACCAGGATGCACAAGGGGAATGCGGTAGATGTATTTGGATTTTAATACAGATTTGGATAAAATGTCTCAAAAAATCTTAACTCCAAACTAAAATTGGCTTAGATAAAATCACTGCCATGAAGATCGAAATCAGTGAGCGGCCTGTAAACAGAGGAAAAATGATAGTGTATGGCGTGGTGTGTGGGAGATGACTGAAGAGGTACTGTAGGACTTAGCATTTGGACTAGTTTTATTTAAATCTTCATTAGGGATCTGGAAGAGGCAGTATACAGCACACTGCTGAAATACTAAATAATGCACAGTGGATAGTACTAAATTCAAAAGAAGTGAAAAGAACAGTGAGGTTAGAGAACTAAGGCAAAGGAGACTAGAAAGCTTAGCAGAAGCTTGAGCAGAAAATAAAAAGAAATTGAGATCCTGTTTGGGAAAATGCAAACTAATCCATCTGGGGAAAAATAAACCAAAACATGGGAAAAGGACACCTGGGGAACAGTCCTACTAAAAGAGGCCTACAGGTGGTAGTGGGCAGCAAACTAGACATGTATTTTCAATGTAATAGGGCAGGAAAAAAAGATGAGTGAGATTTTGTGTTGCATATGTAAAGGTATTATGTTAAAAAGCAATTAATAGTTCCTCTCTAAGGCTATGTCTACCCTCTAAGGTAGGGCTCTGATGCCCCTGCTTGTGTACACATATTCGTGCTAACTCATAGCAATGTGTCGGTAGCAGCAGTAGAGGCCTGGCTTAACTATGCTGAGTATGTACCCACTGATCACAGGTGGGTTTGTGCTCAGTCCACCTAAGCCGTGCCTTAGATGCTGCTACCCGTGCTACCATGAGCTACGCTGCTATTTATACTCGCACTAGCTCCCTGAAAGCTAGCTTGAGTATGTGTACATGAGCAGGGGGAATCAAACCCCTAGCTCATAGGGTGGATGTAGTCTTAGGGTCAGATCTTGTGGTCTGGCTGTGGTAGGGATCAGGGCCGGCTCCAGCTTTTTTGCCGCCCAAGCGGCGAAGCGGGGAAAAAGAAAAAAAAAGCTGCGATCGGCGGCAGCTCTACCGCGCCGCTTCATTCTTTGGCGGCAATTCGGCGGCGGGTCCTTCGCTCCGAGAGGGACCCGCCGCCGAATTGCCGCCGAAGACCCGGACGTGCCGCCCCTTTCCATTGGCCACCGCAAGCACCTGCTTCCTTTGCTGGTGCCTGGAGCCGGCCCTGGTAGGGATGCAGGCATTAGCTTAGGGCTAGCTGGGGATTGGGTATGTCTCCAGTATAACCTAGAGCAGCATTAGGGTGGCTCTAATTTATGCCTGACTGCCTGCTGTGGCAAAGGGTGGTTCCAGCAGCAGTTGGGGATCTTTGAGGCACAGGAGTATGCTGGGAATGCCACCTACACTGAGAATCAGGGGTGATATTGGCATGTGAGGATGCCTTCTGAGGATTCCCCTAGACAGTGGAATGCTCAGGGAACCAGATCTACTGGCTTTATTTCTGCTTGGTACTGTCAAACCACTGCAGATGCCTGAATGGGGCAGGAGATCTGGTCCTGTCTCTCTGGTGCACTTGGGACATTGGTTCAGATCTTCAATTGTGGTACAACTGCAATGAACAAAAGATGGGGGTACTGTGCAAAGGCTGATGAGGTAACTTCTGACAGGAATTGCAACTGCATGCAATGTCTTTGGGGACCATACTGTGTTAAGTTTATGAATCACTGTGGGCCAGGGATTATATGGAGCTCCAGCGGGGAGGGTTAGCACAGCTCCTCCAGGTACCAAAAACAGTAGGGGGTGATTAAGGTGAATCACTTAGGTTGTAAACACCTCCAGAGATGCTGGTGTATACTGGTTCAAGCTGGGTTTTTGGAGGCCAACAGACAAAGAATGGGATTTTGATATAAAAAGGATGAGTTCAGACTAACACAGGACTTTCTTTTAATTCAGCAAATTGACAGGACCTTCTGTCCAAAGGGGGCGGGGGACTGAATCCTTGTGGAAGAAGGGATGGACTTCAGCTTACTAGGACCCCCTAGGACTGATGGGTAAGCTTTTAGCATGCATCTAGGCACTTGATTGTTTTATATGCTTTTCTGTAATGCTTTTACCCTAAGAATAAATATCTTTTGCTTTGTGAAGGCCAGGTAGTAACTGCTTTACAGTGTTGCAGCCTCTGCAGAAAGGTTAACCACAGGTGCTGGACTCTGGTCACACCTGCTGGGGAAACCATACTGAGGTACAGATGGACTGCAAGCTCTGGAGGGGGAGAAATGAGGGGTCTCTGCTCCAGAGAGGTGATGGAAAGAATCTGAAAGCTTAAGGTATCTCAGAGGTGAAGTTAACTCAGAAACTGTGACATAATGATCATGGTTCTATCTCTGTGTATCAAAGCCTCTTACATATGGTGCCATAGGTGGCTGCCTATTTAGGCAGTGCCCAGCACTGCTGCTGCTAAGTGCAAAACTAGCAGAGGGAAGAAGATGTCTTGCCTTATGCACGTCATTTCATCCCCTCCTGCACTATCCAGAGCTGGGGTTTGGGATTGCTTTTGCTGTTATGAGGCAAAACCCATAGCTGCAAGTGATAGGAATGAAGTGTCTCACTAAGGGAACGGGAAACCCTCCACTTTCCTCACACATGCGTGGAGTTTGTCCCCTTTAGCAAGTGGTCATTGCTCAACTAATCAGGGACTGTAAGCCAAAGACATATCTTAGAAAGAAGGGTGTCCAGCTGCTAATGTTGCCACATCATACGACTAGTTTAAAAGGGGTGTGAACAAAATGGGGTGTAAAAATCACCGTGACACGTCATGGTTAGCTCTTCAGGGGGCTGTTAAACTGGCCACATTTAAAAGCAAAGCTATGGGCAGGAATGTAAAGTGAATATACTGTCGAGAGTATAACAAGCAGTGATGTAACTGTGCCAGAAGTGTATTCCAGTATCTTTTTACAGGCCAGATTGTTTTAATCGAAGGCAGCCTTCCACAGGAAAGGAGTTTTGAGACAGGATAGAAATAAGATTCTAGTAGGTTTCCAGAGGTATCTCAGAGGAGATTGTGCAAGCTTCTATATCACTTGATCCTTTATATTCCTATAGCCACTTAGAAGAGAAGTGTTTTTCCATCCAACCCCTATTTTTTTTTCATTAAAAGGCAAGCTTTGCTTTTAGAAAGTTTTATATGCAGCAAAGCAAGAGATGGTTAATATTCAACAAGAGTAACTCTTCCCCCTATGTTCTCTCCCTAGATTTAGTGGACTAGTTATTTTATGTGTTCAAGGGGAATAGAGTTCCATATGTACCTACATCTTTTATTAACTTCTTGACTTCCCCTCTAATGTGCTGCAGGACTCATTCATTTCCACTAGGGTTGTCAAGCGATTAAAAAAATTAATTGCTATTAATCGCATGATTAATCGCACTGTTAAACAATAATAGAATGCCATTTATTTAAATAGTTTTGGATATTTTCTAGATTTTCAAATATACTGATTTCAATTACAACACAATACAAAGTGTACAGTACTCACTTTATATTTATTTTTATGACAAATATTTGCACTGTAAAAAACAAAAGTAATAGTATTTTTCAATTTACCTCATACAAGTACTGTAGTGCAATCTCTATCATGAAAGTTGCACTTACAAATGTAGAATTATGTACAAAAAATAACTTCATTCAAAAATAAAACAATGTAAAACTTTAGAGCGTACAAGTCCACTCAGTCCTACTTCTTTTTCAGCCAATCACTCAGACAAACAAGTTTGTTTACATTTTCAGGAGATAATGCTGGTGAATCCATGCTGACTGCTCCTGATCACTTTCCTCTCCTCGAACTGCTTCAAAATTGATTCCTTGAGGACCTGCTGCACGATTTTTCCAGGGACCGAGGTGAGGCTTATTGGCCTTTAGTTCCCCGGATCCTCCTTCTTCCCTTTTTTAAAGATGGGCACTACATTAGCCTTTTTCCAGTCATCCAAGACCTCCCCCGATTGCCATGAATTTTCAAAGATAATTGCCAATGGCTCTGCAATCACACCCACTAACTCCTTTTGAACCTCGGATGCAGTACATCCAGCCCCATCTACTTGTGTGAAGCACTGGAATGGGTTACCTATGGAGGTGGTGGAATCCCCTTCCTTAGAGGTTTTTAAGGTCAGGCTTGACAAAGCCCTGGCTGGGATGATTTAGTTAGGGATTGGTCCTGCTTTGAGCAGGGGGTTGGACTAGATGACCTCCTGAGGTCCCTTCCAACCTTGATATTCTATGATTCTATATTCATCTGCCAGATGCAATAAAGATTCATATGTCCCTTCATGCTTCAACCACCATTCCAAATGATATGCGTCCATGTTGATAATGGTTCTGCTCAATAACCATCCAAAGCAGTGTGGACTGACACATGTTCATTTTCATAATCTAAGTCAGATGCCACCAACAGAAGGTTGATTTTCTTTATTGGTGGTTCGGGTTCTATAGTTTCTGCATCAGAGTGTTGCTCTTTTAAGACTTCTGAAAGCATTCCCTTCTCTCAGATTTTGGAAGACACTTCATATTCTTAAACCTTGGGTTGAGTGCTGTAGCTATCTTTAGAAATCTCACATTGGTACCTTCTTTGCGTTTTGTCAAATCTGCAGCAAAAGTCTTCTTAAAATGAATGACATGTGTTAGGCCATCATCTGAGACTTCTATAACATGAAATATATGGCAGAATGCGGGTAAAGCAGAGTAGGAGACATACAATTCTCCCCCAAGGAATTCAGCCATAAATTTAATTAACGCTTTTTTTTTAATGAGCATCATCAGCATGGAAGCACGTCCTCGGGAATGGTGGCTGAAGCATGAAGGGGCATACAAATAATTTGCATATCTGGCACATCAATACCTTGCAATGCCAGCTACAAAAGTGCCATGCGAATGCCTGTTCTCACTTTCAGGTGACATTGTAAATAAGAAGTGGGCAGCATTATCTCCTGCAAAATGTAAACAAACTTGTTTGTCTTAGCAACTGGCTGAACAAGAAGTAGGACTGAATGGACTTGTAGGCTCTAAAGTTTTACCTTGTTTTGCTTTTGAGTGCAATTATTATAACAAAAAAAATCTACATTTGTAAATTGCACTTTCACCATAAAAAGATTATACTACAGTACTTGTATGAGGTGAATTGAAAAATACTATTTCTTTTGTTTTTTACAGCACAAATATTTGTAATCAAAATCACAATAAGAAATAAATAACAAAAAAAAGTGAGCACTGTCTACTTTGTATACGGTGTTGTAATTGAAATCAATGTACAATAAAAGCTGTTTTATCTGGCATGTTGAGGGAATGGGGGGTGCCCGTAAGTGAAAAATGCCGGTTAACTAAGAGGAGGGAGTTTGGGTGCGGGGGGGGGATGCTGGGTGCCGGATCTGGGTGCCGCTCACCTCGGATGACTCCCCGCAAGCAGAGACCTGTCCTGGCTGCTCCTAGACTGAGGCGCGGCAGGTGGCTCTGTGCACTGCCCCCACCCCGAGTGCTAGCTCTGCAGCTCCCATTGGCTGGGAACCATGGCACCCCCTCCCTGTTGAAAAATATTTTCTGCTGTCAATGCCTCCACACTAGGCATGATTTATATATCCTGCCTATTATCACAGCTGCGAATGGGACCAGGACCCTAGTATTCTGCAGACTGCAGTTCTATTGGGTGAGACAAATGGAGCCTTTCCCTGGGCATATCAGTAGTAGCTATGCAAAGCTTGTGTCAGGTGGAGAAAGCTTTGACTTACCCAGCATAGCATGAAGTTCATGCATTTAGTTTCTTTGCCAATCTGTCACAATTTTTGTTTTAAAAAAAGCAGTGATGAAAGGAGCAATTCCAGTTCTGTCATGGGGGAACAAATTTTTCAAGCATTCCTTGTGAGGTGGAGCACTCTGCATTTTATTTTCCTTTGTAAAACACTTTCCTCCCCCCTGCTATCTACTTGGCTGACTCCGCAATTTGTTACACCCAGCAAGTGAGCTAGTCCTTCTTCCCAGAGCCAAACTGGCACTTGGAAAGCCTTTTTTGTTTGTTTTTTTTAAAGTCTGTACCCAGTTGAACATCATCCAAAAACCCTGTGAGGAGGAGGAGGTGCAGCACAGAGCAGACAGTGGGGAAGGGGTGGAGAGAGAGAATACTGTGATGCAATTGCTTTGCTGCCATAGTTAGGATTGGTGTAGAGGCAGGATACTTTTCAAGAGTGTTCAAATTGCTTCATATTTTGGTGGTTACTGCTATGTTTTGGTATTTCTGGTGATTATCCCTATAGCTTCAAGGACCAGAGATTCTAATTATCTGTCTCTACTGCTGGTTGCCATAAACAGTGTATAGAGAGGATGGTGGGAACTGAGAAAAAAGAAAAGGAGAATCAACTGCATTTAATAAAATGTGACAAGTATATATCATATCTATCACGAAATAAACAGCCATGCCTTCTTAGCACTATGATATCCCAGTTATACAAAGATCAATGCATTCAAGATTTATATCTATAAACTGGAGGGAAGTCACATAAAAGAAACAAAAATCAGTGAAGGACTTCAAGGACTGGTTTATGGGAAAGATTAAAATAGCTAAAAATGTCTGTCTGTCTAGATGTTTATATCACATTCATCACTGTCATGTACTATGCTGCTGGGCCTATGTACTAAACTGGGGGTGAGGGATCTGGTAACCATCTACAAGTATTGCAAGGTTGTAGGCACCAAGGAGCGTGAGAAATTGTTTAGGAAGGTTCAAGGAGTACAACCCAGGAGTAATAGGATGAAATGAGGGAAAAATTAGGCTAAATATCAGGAAATATTCCGCCCAGTGCGAGCTGGTAGATTGTAGCTAGAAGTGGTAGAAGACTCATCACTTGAGTCATTTCAAATAGGACTGGGAGAATCACTCGAGAAAATATATTGTAGTAACAATCCTGCATTGGCAGAGGGACGGTGTAGATGATAGGTCGTTTTTGTCTATTGTTCTGTGGCAACTCATTACCAGTGTAGTAAAGCAAAATAGTACCCATCACAGTATATTTG